ACATCACACCAAACCCTAAACCCTAAACCCTAAACCCCAACATGGAGGACAGCCTCACAAGCTTCACCGAGCTCGGAGTGGGTCGACGGATGCCTTCGAGCCCGCACTGCCCACCATGCCTCGAAGGAACTGTTGAGCTCATGTAGGGGCCTTAATGATTAGAATGGGGTTTTGGGGGTTCCTTATTATACTTATGGTATAATGGGCCCCCAAACCCTATTTTAAGTATTAAGGCCCCTATATCAGCATTGGGTTTTCAACATTCAACGCGAGCTCGAATTCCATCAGGGATTCTCGCATGGCGGTTTTATGGTTCAGGTAGAGTAGACCCGAGCCCCGATGAACGAAACCGCATGTCTCGGAGGGGCTTACTGTTAGGCCCCCCCATTGATCAGGTGTAGACTATGTTAATGCTACTGCTGTAGCAGCAGCAACCACAACTGCATTTATCCAGTGAATACTGTTGTTATTGTGTTTCGGTTTGTTCTTGTTATTCGTGTGAGTGATTATATCAGCTATTAGTGTTAGCTTGTTTGTATTCTTGTTCATTACTAGTACGACTAGTGTACTACTACTACTACTACTACTACTACTACTACGGCTACTACTACGGCTACTACTACTACTACTACTACTACTACTACTACTACTACTCTACTACTACTACTACTATTACTGCTACTACTACTACTACTACTACTACTACTACTACTACCACCTACTACTACTACGACGACGACGACGACTACTACTGCTACTGCTACTGCTACTGCTGCTGCTGCTGCTGCTGCTGCTGCTGCTACTACTACTACTACTACTACTACTACTTCCACACCGACTCAGACACCCACTCCTGCTCCTTGTCCCATTCCTACTCCTACTGCTGCTCCTACTCGGACTGCTGCTCGTCCTGCTGTTGCTACTGTTGCTGCTACTGCTGCTGCTTCTGCTGCCCTGACTGCTCCTACTCCCACTCCTCCTACTTCCACCACCATCACGTCTCATCACCCCAAGGATCGTGCATCCCGGTCCTGCAGCCCAATGGCTCTGCCATCAGTTTCAAGCCCGGGAGCTCGGAGTGATCTACAATAAGCCTTGGGTCCCTGCTTCGGGTTCGTATAGTGATGATTTTTGCTAGCCAGGGTCTATACTAGGCGACCTTATGGGTCTTGATGTCTTGGCTATTTAATGGGTTGACCTTCCAGGTTCGGCAGTTTAGCATGCTAGGAGGTTATGGTTTAATCACCCAACACCACCCACACCCTAAACGCCTGCACCGTAAACCCCCTCAACCGACATCCGCTAAAACCCTCAACCCCTACACCCTGCACCTCCACACTGTATCCCCCTACAACCGTAAACCACTACACCTAAACCCTGATGAACTCTAATTATTACTCTAATTGGGATTCTTTTGGATAGGCTCGGGGTGTCGGCTGGACTCCAAAAAGGTTCACGGCCGGACGTATGCGTTGACGAGGGTTTGGCTTGAAGGAGTCAGGTTTGAGGGTTCAGGAGAGTGTTGGAGGGTGTAGGGGGGTTTCGGGTTTAAGAGGGTCTAGGATTGTGGGTTTAAGTTTGAGGTTTATGGAGGGCTTAGGGTCGCGGAGTGTTCTCGTCGAGAATGAAACGAGCAGCAATGGCAACACGCAGAGCCAATGGCAGAACTAGGCTTTGGGATAATCAAGCCTATGCACAAAGACACATGGTAGCAGAGCCTGAGGCTGTGGGACCAACTGTTTGTTCGGGAACCATTTGGCTTCACCTGGAAACACGCCTAGGCGAAGCTCATTAATTTGTTTTGCTGAGGGCGGGGGTTCACGTTCAGGGACATTCAGGGTTTGGGGGGTAAAGGGCTTCATACCTCCACGAAGGGATGGAGTTCAGCCTGTTGTGGTTTTGTCTCCTTGCGAGCTTGAATAGCCCTAAACCCCAGACCTCCAGAACTCCAGCTGGGTTTGCAATGCGACCCAGGACGGAGGATCAGGCACAACGCCGTGCGCATGGTTTGGTGGTGTTTGGAGGGTCTTGTATGTTGCAACTGTAGGTGCTGGATTGAGGGTTGTTTCTGTGGGCTTAGGATTTGCTGTTTCAGGGCTTCATACAGTTTCGTGCTGACGGTGTTGCGTCTCCTTTTGATTTGCAGTTCTTGGAGATCGCAAGGGTTGTTGGAGATGGGATGTGAACGTGTTCCTGCCATTGACGCCTGCTTGTTGTCTTCAGTTCTAAACAGCAAATGCAGGAGTCGGAATAAGTAGGGGCTGTATCCCCTTGTAGGCCTTGTATACCCCCCCATCCTATGACCTGAGGTCCAGAGTCATGTGATCCTTACCTTCGTCCCCGGGCCCTGGGCGTCCCTGGCCAATCCTAAGGCCCCCAAGCCCTAAACCCTAAACCCTAAACCCTCTGACAGGAGCAGGTAAAGATCAAGGAGACGGTGAACAAGCAGCAGCTCGAGCAGGCGGAGTGCTTTGTGTCCCCCGGTTCAGGGTAATATAGGAACCTGAATAAGAAACTCTGGGCCTTAAACCCTAAAGCTTCAACCCCCAAGCTGGAGAGGGCGGTTTACGTTTCCGCCGCCAGCCTACGGGGGCGCTTAGAACCACATGGAGCTGCTCATGAAGGCGTTTAGGGTTTACCTAGGGGCTCCTATGTAGTTCCTTTTTGTATAGTATTCTATACTTCCTTACCAAACAACCATAGCAAACCCAAAAAGGAACTACATTGGAGCCTCTGGGTAAGCTCTGGGGTTTACGGCTCGGAAGGCGGCTGTAGCTGTGTCTCTGGGTGGGGTGCGGCGAGGCTGCAAGCCCCCTAAGGTTCCGAGGTACTTGTCTTTCCACCCTAAACCCTAATCCCTAAACCCTAAACCCTAAACCCTAATCCAACTTGTACCGATTTATCCATGAACCCTGGCCTCAAGTGCAGTTCGCAACTCTCCTGGCAGTAGACCCGAAACCCCAACCACTCCCCTACTGTTTGCTTCAAATGAGTTCTCCTTAGTAATCATGTGCTGATTCCGACAATGCCGTCAACAACATTCTTAACTTATGACGTATTCAAAAGATAAAAGCTTTAGCTTGATGTTGGGCCCTGGGGGCTTCGTCTTAAAACACAGACTTTCCAGGATCACGAGTTGGGAGAAGGGCCTTCACCTGCAGTTCCGGTTGAAGACAGAAGCATCAGCGACGACGATGGCAGTACACAGCGATGCGAAGCATCAGCAATGTTGCCGGCGAGGATAAGTTCGGCGAGGATCAGGTACAGAATTTCGAGCATGATGATGAAGGGCCCCTTGACACGACCGTGGCGATGACGGCACTATGAGAATTCGGATCGGTTTGTACATGTGGCAGTGGTGGCGATAATGAAGAGATTGTCATGTCGATGGCTATGATGATCATGATGGAGTGGTTCTGATACAAGGCATATTGAGATATTTGGTGGGCACCGTGGTTAGCTCCTGAACTAAACCTCGAATCGTTTACCCAGCTTGCTACGCCCTAAACCCTATACCCTTTACTTGGGCTTTTCGGGACCCGAGCCGCAGCTGCAGGAAGCTTTGAAGTTGGAGGAGGAGCTGCAAAAGGAACTGGTGCTTGTCTCAGGGGTCCTCGAACGGCTTCTATGGGGACTTCGCAGGGTTCTACTATGTTCTATTGGCTAAACAGTCTGTTAAATAGCTTTTTTTGAAATGGGCTTCGCACAGCAATCCTGGTTTGACATCGACTGGGTTTTGGGGGGGGCAGATGCAAAAAAGATTCTCAGAGGAGTTGTACAAGGGTTCTGGAAGGGGCTGGGACATGCTGTACGGCACAAGGGCTTCATACGATTTCTAATAACTGCGCTTGACCTCTGACTAGCAACCCCCCTTGCTTTAATGGCCTAAGCAGAAGGATCCTATTGTCAGGCCGCTTAGATCAGGGTGCTTTACTAATCACAGGTCGACAGTGCGAATTCTGTAAGGGGGAGCAAGTGAGTTCAGGATGTGGAAATAACTGTTTTGCATTTGCGGTGAAGGCTTCAAAGTTCCGGTTCAGGGATCGAACAACCTGGTCAAACGAAAGCCCTATACTCCCAACCCCAAACAGCACCAAATCCCTGACTCTGCACCTCTGAACGAGTTTTGGTCGAAGATCTGAGTAGATTGTATGTCGGGGCTTTGTAAGGTAATTACTACTATTGCTGAATCACGCGTAATTATGCTAAGTAATACTGTCATTGTTATTATTGTTATTGTTATTATCATTATTAATAGTATTATTATTGTTGTTATTACTGTTGTTGTTGTT